AAAAAGTGAAAAGTGCCTCCAACTCGTCCATTGAGACTTCTGAGCACGAACAGTAGCTTCAGCGCCTACTGATGCAGTCGTCTTGGCGTCCCTCGGTAAAGACAAAATAATACATTATGAGAAACAACAAGAAACTCAATGGATAGAAAACGCGGCAGAAATTGTCCAAATACCTAAAATGTAATGATAACGAGCAGATATGGAAACCAAGTAACGTGTGACGCCACTAACCTTCCGGTTTTATGGTATCTCTGCGCTTTCTGCATCATCATATCTCGTTGGTCCTCGGTCATATCAGATTTCCCTTTGAGAGCCCATTTTTTCTGCAGATGTGCTACGTTCATAATTTCATCTTATTAGTATGTTCTCCGCAACTTACGAGTTGATTCGCTCTCTTGTCGAAGCCGATGACGAAAAGAGTTTGTAGCAAAGTAAAGAATACAAACCCTGTGATGAAGCCAAACCAGAGATCGATTGCCTGCGATTTGCAAATTTAGCTCTTTACCATTAAAAAACATAGGTTATACCTTCAAATAGGAAACACTGGGCAGATGTTCTCTTGCACCTGCAGACTCGGTCGAAAGCGTCAGTAGTACGGTAATAGCTACGCCAATGCGTCCTTCCATAAACTCTTCAGGCAACCAGACACCAACCTTAAATAGCAGTTTGATATAGAAGATATATTCTGCTATTGACTGTGTTCGAGCCTTTCACGTGACTTGCGATAGCCAGCCGGTTACCAAGTCAACGTTTTTATTATCTCAGATTATTCAAGTACCAGTTCATGCCCAGGGGTGCGGATCGAACATGAGTACGATCTGGTTATGGCGGCGCCGTGTCCCATTGCGCCATTCCCAATTACCCCCTCCCACTGCCATTCCCCCTTACCCCCTCCCACTGCCTGATAAAGAATGTTCCTAATCTCAACTTTGTTGCAATGAATCTTCTGGTTTCTATACATTAACAGAAGAAACTTCTTAGGCCCGTATGCACGTACTCCCCGCTGGGGAGGGTAGGAGATGTGAGAGAGAATGCGACAAATCTCGCTACTCTACTCATCTTTCTTCTTCCTTCTCTATCTCGCTTATAGGGGTTCTCATCTCCTTAAACCTGCGCATAATGAATCCCATATTACTGCCATACAAGATTGATTTTTGCGATTTCATCGGATGCTCAGGGGATCCAATGGGGATCTTCACGGGATCACCTCTAATTTTCAAAGTGTTTTATCTTT